TACCAACCATAGCGCATCAGTCCTTAATCCCCTTAGCTCGAAGTTTTAAGTCCCAATCCCCGAGTTTTAATCCTGAAATTGTGTTTTGGGTTTTGAGCCTTGGTTTATGAATTCCAAGTCTCTGATACTGCATCCTGAAATATGAATTATAAACCTCGACCCCGAATTTTTAATCCCAAAATCGAAATTCCTAGTCCTAGTTTAAAGCCTGGATACCGAAATTCTGAAACCGGAATTCTGCATATCGTCTCATGAACTCTGAATGATAATATCCAGAGTCTTGAATCCTGAGTCCTTTATAATAAAGCCTGGCGACTGAATTTCTTGAGCGCCGAATGTTTAACCTGGATTCTAAATCTGGTAGCGTGCCTTAAGAATCGTGAAACCCGGATCTTGAATTGTGAACCCTGAATTCTAATCTTTCAATTCTCTTGGGTCTTGAATTTTGAGTAAAGGGTAAATTGCCTTGGATCCTTAATTTGAGTCTTAATATTCCTAAAATTCTTGAATCCTGAGTTATGGATCCTGAAACTTAAACCTTGAATCCTGTATCTTGTACTCCGAATCTTAAACCTTGGATAATGTATCTTGAGTCCTGTGTACTCTCTGTAAAATATAACCATCTCCTGAAATAAATAGTGAATCATTCTACGCACCCAAATTAATAAGAAAAAGTGTTTCCCGAGAAATTTTGGTGTAGTCGATTTTTGGTAAAAAAAGGAAGGTTATACACTGCCTTTTTTTGAGCCCCGAAAAAAAGTTGGCTCAGATTCACCCGGGAAAAAAAATTTCTTATAGAATGTGGCCTGTAGAATCCATAATTTCAAACAGTTCCAAGATTGGGCTACTAGTTCAAAGTTACAGCCCTTTGAATTTTTTTTCGAAATTGGTTTCTAGTCTATAACTTTTGATTGAGAAGTCTGATCGAAAAAGTACGAATTGATTTGGATTCTACGCACCCAAATTAATAAGAAAAAGTGTTTTCCCGAGAAATTTTGGTGTAGTCGATTTTTGGTAAAAAAGGAAGGTTATACACTGCCTTTTTTTGAGCCCGAAAAAAAAATTGTCTCAGATCGACCCGGAAAAAAAATTTTCTTATAGAATGTGGCCTGTAGAATCCATAATTTCAAACAGTTCCAAGATTGGGCTACTAGTTCAAAAGTTACAGCCCTTTGAATTTTTTTTTCGAAATTGGTTTCTAGTCTATAACTTTTGATTGAGAAGTCTGATCGAAAAAGTACGAATTGATTTGGATTCTACGCACCAAATTAATAAGAAAAAGTGTTTTCCCGAGAAATTTTGGTGTAGTCGATTTTTGGTTAAAAAGGAAGGTTATACACTGCCTTTTTTTGAGCCTGGAAAAAAAAGTTGGCTCAGATTGACCCGGGAAAAAATTTTCTTATAGAATGTGGCCTGTAGAATCGATAATTTCAAACAGCTCCAAGATTGGGCTACTAGTTCAAAAGTTACAGCCCTTTGAATTTTTTTTCGAAATTGGTTTCTAGTCTCTAATTTTTGATTGAGAAGTCTGATCGAAAAAGTACGAATTGATTTGGATTCTACGCACCCAAATTAATAAGAAAAAGTGTTTTCCCGAGAAATTTTGGTGTAGTCGATTTTTGGTAAAAAAGGAAGGTTATACACTGCCTTTTTTTGAGCCCCGAAAAAAAAATTGTCTCAGATCGACCCGGAAAAAAATTTTCTTATAGAATTTCTTATAGAATGTGGCCTGTAGAATCCATAATTTCAAACAGTTCCAAGATTGGGCTACTAGTTCAAAAGTTACAGCCCTTTGAATTTTCTTTCGAAATTGGTTTCTAGTCTATAACTTTTGATTGAGAAGTCTGATCGAAAAAGTACGAATTGTTTTGGATTCTACGCACCAAAATTAATAAGAAAAAGTGTTTTCCCGAGAAATTTTGGTGTAGTCGATTTTTGGTAAAAAAGGAAGGTTATACACTGCCTTTTTTTGAGGCCCGAAAAAAAATTGTCTCAGATCGACCCGGCTTATAGAATGTGGCCTGTAGAATTCAAAAGTTCCACTACTAGCCCTTTGAATTTTTTTTCGAAATTGGTTTCTAGTCTATAACTTTTGATTAAGAAGTCTAATCGAAAAAGTACGAATTGATTTGGATTCTACGCACCCAAATTAATAAGAAAAAGTGGTTTCCCGAGAAATTTTGGTGTAGTCGATTTTTGGTAAAAAAAGAAGATTATACACTGCCTTTTTTTGGGCCCCGAAAAAAAAATTGTCTCAGATCGACCTGGAAAAAAATTTCTTATAGAATGTGGCCTGTAGAATCCATAGTTTCAAACATTTCCAAGATTGGGCTACTAGTTCAAAAGTTACAGCCCTTTGAATTTTTTTTCGAAATTGGTTTCTAGTCTATAACTTTTGATTGAGAAGTCTGATCGAAAAAGTACGAATTGTTTGGGATTCTACGCACCAAAATTAATAAGAAAAAGTGTTTTCCCGAGAAATTTTGGTGCAGTCGATTTTTGGTAAAAAAGTAAGGTTATACACTGCCTTTTTTTGAGCCCCGAAAAAAAAAATTGTCTCAGATCGACCCGGAAAAAAAATTTTCTTATAGAATGTGGCCTGTAGAATCCATAATTTCAAACAGTTCCACGATTGGGCTACTAGTTCAAAAGTTACAGCCCTTTGAATTTTTTTTCGAAACTGATTTCTAGTTTATAACTTTTGCGGCCGGTTGCACAAAAAAAATAATCCAGGATTATTGTTTAATCCGGTATTAAGACATTTGATTGGCTTTATATTTCAGTAGGCAGCCAATCAAATGTCAAAATTCTCGTTTAAATTCAGATTTGGCAAATAATCTAGGATTTTGATTATAATTCGCTTTCCTGCAATCGGCCGTTGATTGAGAAGTCTGATCGAAAAAGTACGACTTGATTTGGATTCTACGCACCCAAATTAATGAAGTTTTCATTCCTCCTTTCAGCATTCCTATAGCTCTTCCGCGTCCTCTCCTTATTTACTCTTTCTCCACTCTTTCCCACTGTACACTTCCTTCGAGACCCATACACGCTCTTTGTACTGTCTCGGCGTCTTCTTTCAGCTCTCTCGACGCATCCTTTAAGTCTCTTCTTTTCGATACATTTACCTTCATCAATCATCATATCCCTTACGAACCTTCTTTACGCTCGCTTCGGGCTTTCTTTACGCCTTCTTCGACTCCTTTGCTCCTCTTTCAAGTCTTTTTATATGCCTACTTCGTCCCTTTGCATCTTGTTCAAGCCTTCGTCTCCCCGTCCAGCTATCTTGGCGCGTTGTTCTAGTTTTGTCATCTCTTTTTGGCCCCTGTACACTCTTACCTCAACCTCCATGCGTCTTTTGAGTCACTGCACTTATCCTTCTATCCCCTTCGATCTCTCGACGCCCTTTTTGAGTGTTTTTGACGCGACGACGCATACTCCCAAGCATTTAGACGTTCTCTTAATAATCTTCTACGCACCTTCATAGCTTTATTCTTCATGCCTCCTTGAATCTTCCGTTTTGCGTTTTCGACTTCTCTTTTCGAGGTCTTTTTCAAATCCTATCAACTGCTATGCACATTCTCTACAGCCCCTCTGAGCCTGTTCGATTTCGCCATCACATCCACGGCACCTCTTTCTAACCTTCTCTACGCCTCGTTTGAAACCTCCGGATCATTTGTCCATCACAAGTTCCTCTCGTCTCCTACAAAGCTTTCTTCACGTCCCCTGAATAGCTTTTTCGCTCGTCCTTCGAGCCTTCTTTGCGTCTCTTCTTCTTCAAATCTTGATCGCTCTCCTCCGCCGTCTTGAAACTGGGGTCAGAAACTCGCCTGGGAAGCGAAGATTTTAACCCTAAAGGCTGGGAACTCTCCGGACTCCGGACTCTGGATTGTTAAAGTGTGAATTTGGAGCCTCTTGAAAGCAAAATTTTCCTCCATTCCTTTAGACCTTATTAGCACTTATCCACAAATTCCTTAGTTAGGTTTCATATACTGATCCAAGACGGGAAGATACAGTGTAGGCAAACTTAAAACGGGTTGGTATCTATGCCGCTTATCAACCCCCACCATATACTTATACAGGTAACCTTTCCCACTCGAATTTTAGGATGTCCAACTGGATAGTGCCCATACTTATTCACTACTAACGTGCTAGAATTTAAGAGAGGAATAATTGACGATTCTACCTAGTGATAGGAACAACTATTGCGGGGTGGGGGGTGGGGGTGAGTATTCATACGCGCAACCACGTCCCTACATTATACGGCTATAGAAAATTACGTAATCCGTCTTAAGCGCACCCCACAATCAGGACTGACAAACAAGATTTTATCACCTTAAGAGCGTCTCGTTAAGGAGGTCACGAACTTTTTGTACAAACAAACCCGAAGTTTATGCAACGCCAGTAGTTCATAAATATTTAGATCTCTCCAATTCAAATTCAAAACGCTTTGATAATTATCTCCGGGACTCGTTTGTTAAACACTTCATCTATTTGCATAAATTTGTTTGGCAATCTTTTTTATTTGCCTTAAAAATTACGTTAGTTTCGCGGAAAAAAACATACCTGTTTAATTAAATACGGTTCCTTAATTTTTTCGGCTTTAGTCCGTTGATTATCAATCGCTTGGTTTTGAAATTGAGTGACCAAAGCTTTGGTCCTTCGAGCCGGTGAAAGTGGAGCTCTCGGTTTGAATTTTTAAAGCTGGGGCGCGCATAAAAACGACCATTAAAAGCAAATACCGCAATAACTCAGCTTGCCAGCGTCAAGTGGCTATCTTAGCATAAGTATAAATGGCGGTGCACGTTGTTATTTACTATTAATCCCCTGTGTACCTGACCTTATAAATCTCGGACGTAAAACAAGCACAACGGTGGGAAACTGGTGCAATATTAACGGACCTGCCTCTGGGCTCATTTAATCGTAATGGACCGTTTCGACTGCATTTAAACGGAACGTATTGCAAAGCTGCAAATTACCCCCTTAATAATATGCGGATTATTGTTACAGATTGCCTGCTCGTACTCGCCCTGCTAGCGAACGGAAGTTTCGCCCAACAGCAGTACTTCCGCGTCCAGCCGAGGGACGTGAAGGTGCAGGAGGGCGGTGAGGCGATGCTGGAATGCGAAGTTGGAAACTTAGGTGGACAAGTTCAGTGGACCAAAGATGGATTCGCTTTGGGTATGTAAATTATTGTGTTTCTCGATACCGGGTCCGGAATTTAAATTTGCGAAATGTCACTCAACGCCTAATTGGACGCGTCCGTATTGTTTTGTTTGCGTTTTGTGGGGAAATCAATACCGAATGCGACTATTTCTCGAGTTGAAAGACAACCTCGCCTGGATCTCAAGATATATTTGTATGCACCTTTTTTTATATTGTGGTTTACTAGCAAAGTGTTGCTGAGGATGCAATTCAGCAACAAGTACAAATTCATATCTCGCAGAAGCAGGGAGTAGTAGATTTCAAAGGTTTTCTTATAAGGTTGCTAGGAAAATTCCGAAGATGTAGTTCATGAAGAATTCTAGTAATATTGGAAGTAAAAGTCGTCTGGGAAGCCTTTGAAATCTTTATGGTGATATTTTCTAAATTTTTTTAATATTCTCAAAAATCTTGAAGAAATATTAAAATTCTCAAAAATCTCAACAATTTTAGAAATTGATTTGAAGGTCTAGGGCTTGCCTAGTTTTGGACACTTAAATATTTTGGAAAAGTTGGATTAAAAATTCCATTCATTAGGAGTGGCGTTGGAGGTTATTATTTTTTGAATTTGTGGATGGGTCTTACTAGTTTTGGAATTGTCTGCGAATATTCCAAAAAATTCATTAAATTACAGAATCTTGACAATAATAGTTGTAAAGACCTCTATCACAAGGTCCTTCTTGAAAATCTGTTTAGGAATTTTTAAGAAATCTGTTGGCGATTCTGTTCTTGTAACTTTATTGCAAATATTCCAAAAACCATTTTTAAAAACTTGTGTTTCTTGGAAACCTACTTTAGTAGGAACCTCTTTCTAAGCCTTTCTTGAAAACTTATTAAGTCATTTTCAAGAAATCTGTTCATGATTCTTAGTTCTTATGGAATTTTCTTCCAAATATTCTAAATAGAAATCAATTAATGAAAAATTCCCGAGAATGTTTGTAAAAACCTCTATTTCAAGTCTTTGTTGAAAACTTGTTAAAAAATCATTTGAAAAGAAAATATTTAGTAGAAACCTCTTTCCAAGATCTTCCTTGAAAACCTGTTAAAAATCACTTAATGGAAATTCCTTGTAAATTTTAATAAAATTCAATTCAATTAAAAAATTCCCGAGAATTTTTGTAAAAACATCTTTCCAAGGTCTTTCTTGAAAACCTGGGAAAAATCGCTTAATGAAACTCCAAGTAATTCTCGAAAACCAATTTAGGAATCTTCGAGAAATCGGTTGATAATTTTTAGTTCTCAAGGACTTTTCTTCAGAAAAATTCATCTAGTGAAAAACCTTTTGTAGAAGCATCTTTTCAAGTATTTTTGGAAAATCTGTGTAGACCTCTTCAAGAAATCTGTCATATGCAATTCTTAAAATATTTTATAAAAAACCTGGAATTAGAAACTTTTTTCCTCGCTTTTTTCCAAGGTTTTCTTGAAAACCTGCTAAAAAATCACCTAGAGAAAAATCCTTGAATCTCAATAAAATTTAATTTAATTAAAAAATGCTAGATAATTTTTGTAAAAACTTCTTTCAACGGTCGTTTGTGAAAACCTGTTAAAAATCACCTCCTCGAAAATTTTAGTAGAAACATTTTTCCAAGTTTTTCGTGAGTCTCTTTAGGAGTTTTGAGCAAATCTGTGGATGGTTCTTAGTTTTTAAGGAATTTTCTTCTAATATTAAAAAAAAAGCATTTCAATAAACAATCCTCGACAATATTTGGTAAATCATCCAGGTAAAATCTTTTAATGAAAAATCCTTGAGAATTGTAATAGAAACCTTTTTTTAATCTTTCTTGAAAACGAGTTTAGGAATCTTCAAGAAATCGGTTGATAATTTTTAGTTCTCAAGGATGTTTCTTCAGAATATTGCACAGAAAAAATCATTTAGTAAGAATCTTTTGTGGAAGCAAGTAAAAAAACCTGTTTAAACCTCTTCAAGACATCTGAAAAAACTTGGAATTTTGTAGAAACCCCTTTCCAAGGTTTTCTCGAAATTTTTCGAAATTTGTGGACAGATCTTAGTTTTTAACGAATTTTCTTCGAATATTCTTTACAGAATCCTTGATATAATAGTATTTGTCAAAAATTCTTGAGCATGTGAATAGATTTTAATTTAATAACAAAAACCTAAAGAATTTTTGTAAAAAGTTCTTTTTAACGTCTTTCTTGATAACCTGTTTAGAAATCTTCAAGAAATCGTATAATTATTTTTAGGCCATGAGGACTTTTCTTGGATATCTTTCAGGGGGAAAATTCATTTCACAAAAAATCTTTAAGAATCTTTCCAAGTCTTTTTGAATTTTTGGAGTTTGTTTGCGAATCTTCCGGAAATTTGTGGATGGTTCTTAGTTTTTAAGGAATTTTCTTCGAATATTTAAAAAAATTCAATCAACAAAAAAGTCCTCGCGAATGTTTGTAAAAATCTCTTTCCAATTGATGCTTGACATTTTGTTGAAATATCATTTACCCTCCTGAAATTTTGGTAGGAACCTCACTCTTCTTGAAAACTTGTTTAGGAAGTTTCAAGAAATTTGTTCATGATTCTTAGTTTTTAAGGTAGGTATTTACTTCGAAATATTCCAAATCGAGATCATTTAATGAAAAAGCGTCAAGAATTTTTGCAAAAGTCTTCTTTGAAAACCTGTTAAATGGTCATTTAATGACGAATCTTCGAGAATATTCAGTAGATACCTTTTTTCAGGTCTTTCTTGAAAACCTGCTTGGGAATCTTCAGGAACTCACCTGATGGTTCTTAGTTTACAGGGAATTTTATTCGTCGAAAGATATCATTTAATTAAAATCTTAGAGAATTTTTTTAAACCTTTTTCCCAAGGTCTTGCAAATCAGTTAATCAAAAATACTTGGGAAGCTTTTTTTTATTTAAAAAATCACTTGAAAAATCCTCGAGAATTGTAGTAAAAACCTTTTTCCAAGTCTTTCTTGGTCTGCTTAGGAATTTTGAGGAAATGTGTGAATGGTTGTTAATTCTTAAGGAATTTTATTTGAATTTCCAGAAAGACACATTTAATTTACAAATCCTCGAGAATGTTTGTAAAAACCTTTTCGCAAGTCTTTCTTAAAAACCACTTTAGGAATCTTCAAGAAATCCGTGGATCATTTTTAAGAACTTTTCATATTGCATAGAAAAATCACGTAATGAAAAATCGTTAAGAAATTTGGAGAAGCCTCCTTCTAAGTAATTTTGGAAAACCTGTTTAGGTATCTGCAAGAAGTATGTCGATATGCAGCGCATAAAGAATTTTTCAATATTCAAAGATATCATTTTAAGAAAAATCCTGCAATTATTGTAGGATTTCTTGAAAACCTGTTTAGGAATCTTTAGTAAATTTGTGAATGGGTGTTAGTGTTTACGTTTCTTAAAAACCTGTTTAAGAATTTTTAAGATATCTGTTGATGATTCGTAGCTCTTTAGGAAATTTGTTCGAAATATTCGAAATAAAAACCGAGATAAAAACCATTTAATGAAAAATCCTAGAGAATTTTTGTAAAAAACTCTCCAAAAAATCTTTCTTGAAAACCTGGTAAAATCGGATAAGGGGCAATCCTTGAGAATCTTACTAGAATTTAATTTAATTAAAGTAAAAAATTGTTTCAACGGTCGTTTTTGAAAGCGTTAAAAAACCACTTAATGAAAGATCTTCGAGAATTTTAGTAGAAACCTCTTTTTAAGCCTTTTTTGAAAACCAGTCAAAGAATTTTGTTCGAAATATTCCAAAAAGAAATCATTTAATGAAAAATCCTCGAGGATGATAGTAAAAACCAATTTCCACGCGTTTCTTGAAAATCTGTCAAAAAATTATTTAATTAAAATCGGCGAGATTGTTAGTAGAAGCCTCTTTTCAAGTTTTTCTTGAAATCCTGATCAAAAATCTGCCAGAATTTCAATGGAAAACTCTTTCGTGAAAACCAGTTCAGGAATCTTCGAGAAATCTGTTGAAGACTTTTAGGTCTTGAGGACTCTTCTTCGGCATATTGCAAATAAAAAAATCAACTTAATAATTTTTGTAGAAACCCTTTATTTTTGGAAAACCGGTTTAGGAATTTCTAGGAAAGTTCAGGATGGTTCTTAGTTGTTAAGGAATTTCCGTCGAATATTCCAAAAAATCGTTTAATTAAAAAATACTAGAGAATTTTTGGAAAAACCATCTTTAAAGACTTTCTTGAAAACCTGTTACAAAATCATTTAATGAAAAATCCCCGAGAATGTCTGTGATACGTAGTTCTTAAGGTAGAATTCTTTTTTCAAATCTCTCTTGAAAACCTGTTTAGGAATCTTCAAGAACTTAATTTAATGAAAAACCCTCGAGCATTTTAACAGGAACCTCTTTTCAAATCCACCTTGAAAACTTGTTCAGGGATCTTCAAGAGATCTTTTGATTATTTTTAGTACTTTTCTGGAACTGTTTCATGGGCAAAATCATGTAATACAAATTTTTAAGAATCTTCAAGTATTTTTGGAAAACCTGTTTGGGAATCTTCAAGAAATCTTTTGATGATTCTTCTTAAGGAATTTGGTTAAAATATTTCAAAAAAACCATTTAATCCTGCAGAATATTTATGAAAACCCCTTCTAAGTCTTTCTTAAAAATCAATTAATGGAAAATCCTCCAGAATTTTAGTAGAACCCTTTTTCAAGTCTTTCTTACCCCCACATGTGTTTCTTGAAACTTGTTAAAATCATGTAATGAAAAATCTTCGAGATTTTTAGTAGAAACCTCTTTCAAAGCTTTTCTTAGGAACATGTTTAGGAATCTTCAGGAAATTATTTGATGGTTCTTAGTTTTTAAGATTCAAAAATCATTCATTTAAAAAATATTAGAGAATTTTAGCAAAAATTTTAGCAAAGTCTTTCTTGAAAATGTGTTTAGCAATCTTCAAGAAATCTTTTGCTAATTCTCGGTTCTTAAGAAATTTTGTTCGAAATATTCTAAAAAGAAACCATTTAATGAAAAATACTGGAAGATACTTTTTCCAAGTCCCTTTGGAAAACCTGTGTACTGTGTAGGAATCCAAAACCTCATTTGAAAAAATGTTTCTAAGAAGATCCTAAAAATGTTTTCTAGGGGGACCAAAATTGTACGTAACGGGATCCCCAACTTGCTGTGGTTGTGGCGTCAGCAACAATAGTCCTAAAAATTCACGTTTTAGGTAGATACTTTGACACAAGCTGGTAAATTGGCAAATCTTAAAAGTGCTAGGGCGCAAGTAAGTAACAAGAAGTGTCGGATTATTTTACTTCTAAATTGTTGCTGGGATGTGGAATCTGATGCAGCAAAGGAAACTGGAAGATCAGCAGTTGCAGTTAAAGTGCTGTCAAAGGACCCTTTAAAAGCTAGGCAGGGGTGGTCATGTCGCAGATATCACATGTGTACGTAGTAATAATGTATGTGCAGCCATTCCGGCCGAATGGCATCCATAAATACGCACATCTAAAACAAACAGTTACAAATTTCACTTTGTTATCTGAATAAATATTATACTCGCCCCTTATCGGCGAGCAACCCATTTCACCGATGAACAGCCAATATCGAGCGTGACGCATTAAAATATTCAAATGAGGCGTTTTAAATTCCGTTCTTACAACGAATGTTTAAAATTCAAGGTGTTATTTAATACCAGCTGCAACACGGCCAACCTGCCAGCAGGTGGAATTCTATAACGAAGGGTACCTATTTACTTCTTCGGCCATTTCCTGGTGGACGCGTCGGTTACGGACGCCTGTTAGTATGCGATTATTCTAACATTATGGATATGTGGATATTACACTTGTAGATTGTACACAATGAAATTCTAATTACACGCCCGAGTTAGGGTAAGCACTACGCCTAAATGCAATCAACAGATGGGTAATCTAGCGTAGAAAACTATCTGTGGAGATCCACTGGACCGATTTTAATTTACTCCCGTTTTCGTTTTGCAGGCTTCTCATCGGTTATAGCGGGATTCCCAAGGTATTCCGTTATCGGCGACCGACGTCACGGCGTCTACAACCTAAGGGTTAACAACGCGTCCCTCGATGACGACGCCGAGTATCAGTGCCAAGTGGGACCTTCTCGCTTTCATAAAGCCATCAGGGCGAACGCCCGTCTCATTGTTATATGTAAGTAAATATTTAATATAAACGGGGAACGTGTCCCAAATAAACATAAGGGCACCTTCATGAAATATTGAATTTCGATTACCCTCGTTTCGTTTTTTCCCCTCTTCTTCTGCTTCATCCCCCCGAACGCGCGCGTTAAGCGGGGTTACGTGAGGAGAGAGATGTATAAATTAAGCTTAACTGCAATTGCATGGGGTTGTTCTTTTGTGCTCAGGTTTAACTTCGCTGTCTGCTGCAAGTTAGTTGATAAATATACGACGGCGTACCGGCAATATTTGTTTTACGTGCGGAACAAGTACATTTATATAGTTGGAAAAGCTCCGCTGCTTCTAATTGAAAATTTTCCTCTTGTTCATTCTGTAATGTTACATTCTGATGATGATGCGGGTTTAAATGAGTTCGCGACGAATGCTGCCAATTTGGAATTCCTTTCGCATTCTATTGAAGACTCCGTAAGTCTTGCGATTATTCAAACATCAGTTAGAAAGAATAATTCGAGAAACAGAAAATAGAATTATCTATCAGAATTTAATTTCTTGTGCTAGATTGCGTTAGGGTTTATTTTGGCTTATAGAATTTTACACAAGGTTCGACGGAACGGACGGACAGACTCGAGCGCCACCAAGGGTACTGCCACGCCCTTGGTCAAGGTCGGCGGTGACCACAAAATTAAAGCGCACAGAAACTTTCCTAAGCGGGAACAGTAAATAATTGGATTTGGTAGCGGTATCTACGAGAAAGCAAATGCAGGAAAGAAAAACAATATTCCCTCTTTATAATTAATAAAACGGAAACTTTCAAAAAGCTCACCCTGCAATGAAACGGAGCGGTAGAAATTACTGTGCAAGAAAAAGCAAAAGCTATAGAAACGGTGCGGTAAACTTAATGTAAAAGCACAAATTAAAGGGTATGAATGGAAAATAAATGTATGGGAAAGCTATAAAAGTGCAAAAAGTTACAACCACCAAAGGCCAAAACATCCTCTATAAATTAAGCGTTTACCTTACGTAAACTTCTCATACGGATAGGGAACTTAGGAAATTCTGGGCCGGCCGGCGTATTCGGTCAATACTGTCCAAAAATTACAACTTCTCTAATTCCGTAATTAGTCTTAAAATTCAAATTAATTAGAAGCGCTTCTTTTGATATCCCACACGACTATGTGAAATGACGGTTACTCCAACACACTTATTTAGCTACTGTTAATTTCACTTACTTAATTGACCGGATTGAATAGTCTAAGTAGTCCACTTAACACCTATCGTTAATTGGAATTTTTCAGGTCGGCACAAAGGTCGCTGATATTGGTGCATGGCCTTGCTTATTGCTCGTTAGTTAACATAGGAAACCAAAATCCTGCCAATAATTGCTTAATGGAGCTGAAATATTAAAATATTAATTTACCTCGTGTTCTAAATGACAAGAGCTTTCGAAGTATTTTGACGGGAACGGTTACAAACGGCGAATTAAATACGGCTTCATATTTCCCTTGACGGTTGACTACAAATAACCCACTACCTTATATTTCTAACTCCCAAAGGGAAATAAACATTTTCTGAGCGACAATCTTCGTAACGCTTCTAGATACCGAGTGTTCATCTACAGGGTGCTCACTAAAATTGGTAATTTCTAGGCGGAAAACAGGTGCTTCGCTACAAAGGGGATATAAAAATCAGGTGTGAAGATAGCCGGGGCATTTGCGATTAGTTTGGTTTAATCGAATCCAAAATTCCGCGCCGTTTAAATGAAACTGTGCACCTTATAAAACAAAAATTATTTCAAAATTTGTTAGTCCGATCCTCAGAGCAGGACACAAAAGTTTTTGCCCGTTCAACTTCATCGGGTCGCGAACCTTTTCATAGATGATTTTTTATTACGCGGAATTGAGCCTCTTGGTATAAAATTTTGCGTTAGGGAAAATGGGTTAGGGTAAAAACCATTAACTGTCTTGGCCAACTGTACGCAACAACCAATGTTTCTATTTTTTCTATCTTTTTCTTCTGCAGAAATTAAGCGCTAATTATGAGACAAAACATTCTCTCCTACTCGCATTCGTAACAAGAGCACAGCGGTTAATACCTCCTGGTGGCAAAACATTATATTAGGTGCGTACAAGTAGTGAGAGAAGATCAAATGCCCCGTAAAATCTTTCCGCAGCTTACATTGTGGTCTAATAAAGAGCACCTGCTCCAGGCCAAACATTCTCTCTAGTACAGGAGCACAGAAGTGAAGGTCTCCTGATGGAAAAAAATCATATCAGACGCGTAGAGGTGAAAATAGATGTTAACATTTTCCACGGTTTATATTCCTCTCCAAGTGAAACAAAACATACTCACCTAATTGCGGTTAGTAACAGGGACACAAAATACATGACTCGTAAAAGCTGTTAATAACAGGAGTACAGAATTGAAAACCTCCTGTCGACAGAAAATTGTCTGAGCACATAAAAGAACACACTAAAGAGCCCCTTCTTCAGATGACGGAAAGCATACTCTCCCAACATCTGTAACAGGATCACAGAGGTGAAAGCCTTTCGATGACTAAAAATTGCTTGATGCGCGTATAAGTGAAGTGGTATAAAATAAATCGTCTTCCCAACCAAAGAAGTTCACGTTCTCCAGCGGAAACGAAACGTATTGTAGCAGGAGCACAACCATGAATGCCTCTTATGGATGACGCGTAAAATTTTTCCGCAGTTTATTTAACGTTTATAAGAAATAGAGGTGAAAGCTTCTTGATGACAAAAATGTATCAGGCGTACAGAAATGAAAAAATATAAAATGACTCGTAATATTATTCCGCAGTTCCGTTCAAATAAAGAGCAACGTTTCTATAGGCGAAAGCCTACTGCTGACAGAATTTTATATCAGGCGCACAGAATTGTAAAAAAAAGTATAGAATCGTTCCGCAGATCGAATAAAGATCACTTTATTCAAATGAAACAAAACACACAATTATAATAGCTGTTAGCTACAGAAGCACAAACGTTTCCTGATAGAAAAATGGTGTCAGGCGCAAAAAAGTGACAAAATAAGACCTTTACGCAAATTATGTTCCTAACAAAACATACTGTCCTAGTAACTGTTGGTAATAGATGCACAGTGGTGAAAGCGTACCGGTGATTGAAAATTGTATAAGGTGCATAGAAGTGAAAGAGGTAATTATTCCCGCGGGTTATGTTTCTTTCCAAAATGGGACACCTTCTCTAGATGAAACAAATCATGTTCTTTTCAACAGCTGTTACTAACAGGAGCATATAGGGGAAAGTCTCATCAGAACCCAAAATTGTATCATGCAAATGACTATTAGTAACAGGAGTTCAGAGATGAAATTTTGCTGATGGAAGAAATTGTGTTAGGGGCATAAGAGAGAAGAAAGAAAGAAATAACTTCCGGAAACTTATGTTCCTCTCCCAGAAAGTGCACTTTCTCCGGGCGAAAGAGAACATTAGCTCTGGCAATGGCTGTTGGTAGCAGTAGTACAAAGGCGAATGTCTTACTATGAAAAAAAGTCGTATCGGACACATAGTTAGTAGAAAAAAAGGGATTAAAATTTTTTGCGGGTTACCTAGTAGCTTTGTAACAACAAATTGTATTAGGCGCGTAGAAGTAGTGAAAAATAGTAACCTGGTAAAATATTACGGCCCAATAAAGAGTTCCATGTTTAAACAACACGTGATCTGTAGTAACAGAAGCACAAAGATAAATGTCTCCTGAATGAATAAAATCGTATCAGGCGCATAGAAGTGAAAAATGCAGGAAATGACCTGAGCACAGCTTGATCCACTAAGAGGACTTTCTCCAGATAAAAAGTTAATGTTAGGCAAACATATACATAGGAGAGCGTCTGTAAATAATTTTTGCATATTTTTAGTTTCGGATACTTTGACGATTATTAAAAAAAGATTGGTTTGTACCAGGTAAACATGAAGTGGTTACGAGGAGAATGCGTGAAAGGTTTCCGTTATACTAAGGCATCCTTTGATTCTTTAATTTGTGTTAGGGGAGCATAAATATCGAAATTGGTTTTTAGATTGTTTTAATTCGTAAGAACGTATAATGCCAGGAAATAAAATTATTCAATATGTTTTCCTGGTACGAATATCTCCTTGCTGTAGAAAGGGGCATAATGTCTATGGTAGATGCGTTTCGACATTCGTCATTAAGGAATTAGAGCGGGGTTACAGAAAGGCATAGAAAACATAATACGTTATGTTTTTCTGATACACATAAATGAATTTTGATGGCCACCTTCTCGTGTATTATTATATTATTTAGAAATCGTCGTGTCAATGTAAGAAAAAATCAAGCAGGTGCGAGAATTATTAACAGATGTTCTCCTGATACGAAAAATTGCCCTAGGAGTAGAAAAGTTCAAATAGGTTCATAAATACCTTTAAAGGCTCATAAAAGCTGCAAAAGGCGCTTCAAAGGCTCTTAAAATTATAGAGAAAGTGTTTCTTGATGAACTTTTGAAAAATATCTCTAAAGCGCGGCCTTTAAAGATACTTGAATGTTTTTGATAATATAAGATTTTGAAGGTTCTTAAAAATCTTTCAATGCTCTCAAAAGCTTTCCATGTCTTACAAACGTTATCAAACGCTCGACGGTTAGTATTAAACCTTAGGGGAGATCGTTGGAGACTTATTAAAACTTTTGGAGACTTTACGGATCTTGAATGCCTTTAAAAACTCTCGAAATCATTCGTAGACTTTAAAGAAATCGTAGCCAAATGTCTATTGAAGATTCTAAAATCTTCTTGGACCTTCTTGAAAGTAGGGAAGTTTTAGAATTGATAGGGCACCAATATTGACTACCAGGAAACGGCCCGTCTGCAGAATGTAGCTGGAACCATGTGTTGGGTGGCAATCAGGGCTCGGAATGGACCGGAACGAGCCGGAACGCCGTTCCGGTTGGTAAAAAATATTACAATATCGTTCCGTTTCGTCGAAAATATTTGTACGCCGTTCCTTTTCGTAAAGGGTCCGCAGCGTCAGATCC